CAGGGGCTGATTTGATCTTTTTGCCATTTGATGTGATGGAGTCCTTACTCATGATCATTTTACAACACTTGCAGTTTCTTCTGTGACAGGGTTCAGTTTTACCATGTTTAGCACCTAAGGCAAGCTGTTTAGATGTAACGAGGCGAGATCTAAGCGTAGATCCCGTTTTCTTCACAAACTGAAACAGTTTATTTTTTCCTTTCGGTGCTGTGGTGGAGTTTTAAATTTCATTATATATTGTGACAGAATTAACCTCATTTCCCAATAACCAAGTGCCTGTATTAGCTAACTATTCAAAACAACATATTTTAGGGCTATGATTGGTAGAGCAACCATAAAATAATGAGTTGAAAGGGTTTTTAGGACACCTCACAGTAGAATAGAGGTATGGTATCATGAGTGTGACAAAGTTACCCAAATATTGCCTTGTAACCGTTCGATCCGTGCCCATTAACCAATGTTGTATCATAATTGTTAGATAGACCTAATTTACTATATTTCAGACCAAGGAATGATAATTAGACAATTGCAGTTAACTAAGTCACACAAAATGTGACATTTGAAACATTATAGTGCCTAACAACAATAGATTTTCTTTCTGAGCGGTGCATATGGGAGTATGGGTTACGTGGCTAATGTTCAGAACTTCTGAACGTGCTAGGTTAATAGATGTCAAAATTAAGCCACTATCGTCAAAAACGCTATTATTTTTGTTTACCAATATCCTCAAACTCAAATGAACGTGTCCAAATAGTAAAGGGGGTAAATAGTAAAGGGTGTAAATAGTAAAGGGGGTAAATAGTAAAGAGGGTAAATAGTATTGTGAATATAAGAGGCACGGTCATGCTTGCCAGCATTGTGATTGCTGTGTCATAAGATATAAGTTGTGTGATCCAGGTTGGCTGTCAGAACGATGACCAAACAAAGCAAAAATATCCCTTAAATCTTTTTCTTATTCTAAACTTATTCGAGCTTCTGAAATCTGAATGCATGTTAGAATTATAGCCAATAGTTAATCTGCAATTTTTGTTCTATTTATTAAGTTATTAGGCATTGGCACCCTGAATCTTTATCTCTCTGTGTGTTTTTGAATTTTCATGAGCTGAGCAGAGGGAAGAGACTAAATTCTGACCTTCTCTTCCCTTCTCTGTCCTGGGCAGGGAATATTAACGGGTTAATTTACTAGCACTTCCAGTCTTCTGAATGTGAGTCTGGGATAAGGTATATTTGGTTATTCAGTAGCGGCCTATTGGACCTTTATCTTGACTCTGTATCTTTGAATTTACATGAGCTAAGCAGATGGAGGATATCTTCCCTCGAGCCAGTCCTAGTTTTTGATCACCACATTACTATTAGATAACAGGTCCTGGGTCGGCGATTACAACAAAGCAACAACCGTTTTGTGAGATAAGTACGCAGACTATAGGCGCTTTTAAACTAGACTATGCAAATACAAGTCGTACAACTCATGATCCGATCTTACTTGATATCTATAGAATCTTAGGATTTGACACTTGGTCCTTATTGATCAATGATCATGCAATAGCTTTACAAAATAACAGTCCCGTAGAATTTAAAACAAAGCAACTACGGTTTAGAGGACCAAGTATTTAGTATAAACGCCCTAAAACATGAATATTCAAATACTCGACTCCTCAAATCCTTCCATTCATGATACTTTTAAAATCTAAAAGTAATGTGAGGTAAAATTTGCAAAATCATTGTCATTCTCCATTCAATGGATAATGTGTACCTATAAATTTAATACGTGCTTTTTCATACGATATTATAGATTTCTACTATCTTTTACTGATCAAGATAAAAATTCTATTTCAGGCAGTCGTGCTCTTAACCTAAATCTTCATCACACCATAAGCTAGACTTCAAGTTTTCGAGGTGAATTTCAATTATAAGTACATTAAATATATACTTATTTTGTTTCATGTTGATGCCCGGTTTTGTAAAAAATATTAATCATCGTGTTGATTCTGAGAGAGGCAACAGTTAATATTTCAGATCAATTCTGTGAAAAAGAAAAAACATTACAAAAAGATATTCAGCGGAGACAAGATTGGATCAGCCTAAAGGAGCAGAAGAAGCATGAAACTTGATCAGCAGTCCTCTCATTTGAACATTGTGAAATCAATACATTACTGTGCACAGACATGATACAAAACACTTATTAACTTTTTAGTCATTCATGAGGGAACATATTTTTAGAAACCAATAGCTTTAAAGGTATTATTTCTATTTCGCTTTTACTTGGGTGGTGATTTTCGCATTTTTAAATAGAATATTTTGGACTGAAGATGAGCCTTCTAAACAACTTCTGAGTCTAAATACTTTTATTTTTCTCTTTTAAAACCTCCGGTCGTAAAAAGTAACTTAAATTACTTTTTGTTATTTTTCTCGGTTTAACAGAATATGTTTGTTTTATTGTATGATTACCCCTTTAAATTTTAAACCTGGTACCAATAATATAGAACAATTAGACAGTTAGGGGATATCTAATTTCTAGTACTTTAAACTTTACTAGTTAACTTTAAAGTTAACTCTTTAAGTTAAGATTCAAACTCCATTTCCTATCTCGAACCCCCATAACTTGATGTTCTTCAAAGGTGAACGTGGGTTTACAATTTGCCCCCCGCATTCATTATCCGAGTCAGAGTTTTCTAAGTTAAGGTGAAGGTTTCTTTGGAGGCCATAAGGCTTATCATCCTTCGGAAACTTGTCTTGGGCTAAGTTTATGGTGTCCCCACTGAGGACTTTAGGGGACTTGTCGCTCTTTGAGATGGAGTTATAGCGTCGGAAGGTGAAGACCTTGTTGGGTTGAGATATTTTATCAGAGTAAGCATGTTCAGCTTTTGATTCTTCAGGTGCACCAACATTCAAATCACCGTTCTTTCTATCGGTGTGTGGAATGTTAGACTGATTTTGACAAGCTTCCCGATAACTTGGGGGCGACGTTTTATAAGGAGCATTGATACGAATTTGTTCGAGGTTTCCATCGGAGTCATTCGGGGTGTTACTAAGTTTTGCAAGCCTTGCTGCCGATTTACGATTAATTCTGCTAACCAGACATTCTTTCCACTTATCCTGAAAAAAACGTGATGGTGGTAAGTTTAATTTTCAAGTTATTCCTTGATATTATCAACAATCAGCAATTTACGATCGATTAACCACAATTAACCACTTGCAATGAATATTCAAAACATAAATTTCCTGTTTACACACCCCAAAAGCATTGACCTCCTCTAATGTCAGATAAACTTCCTCCTCCACCGCTGTAAATAGGTAATTGTAATGATCCTCTTCAAACCTGCAACAATAGATTTTTATCTTTAACACAAGGTGCTGGAAATTGATAGATAGGATCGATGAGATATTCATAAATAGAATCTTTGTTTAGCTAGTAATGGTAAACTCTTGGATTTATTTTTAACTAATTTTATACAACTTCAAACATGTCAGCGTCCAATAATGTAAATAACGCACTGTATAGCGATGGCATAAGGATAGTCTCCGATCTTTATTGAGAAGTACTCTCCTTTTCTTGGGTCTAGAGCTAAGATGATTATACTAACTTCGTACAAACAGCTCAGTATCGCAGCATCTATGTACCCTGTAATTAAATTCCAATTTAAGTGATTAATCCGTATTAATAAACTTAATAATGAGACTAAAGGTTCCACGAAATGAATTGCTAAGGAAGAGCCCGGAGCATATGAAAGTAGCGTCATTTGATGTATTGTATGTAACACCCCCATACCATTATAATAGGGTTAAACCGCTTTCCTGATGTGTTGAGTTATGATTAAAAAAACTGCTTTGGTCACGTGCGACAGTCTGATATTAATAAAATACTGATTTGATTTTTTTACTGTTTAGGGCTCGGATTAAAGGGTTATAAAGGTCGCAGTTAGGGTTATGGCTAGCTTCATGGGTATGGTTATGGTTGGGGTTAGGGTTTCGGGGGACCTTTTCTTTCGGTTACGAAACGGTAAAACCTAACTCACGTGACAGTGTGCTGGTGAGTGAACTATCAAAAGCCTTTTATTAAACAAATAATTTGTTACAATAAAAGTACAAGGTACAAACCTCCCCACATTAACGACCTTTTGATGATGTCAGCGTATTTTTCAGGGCTGCAACCAACCTCTTCTTTCAAATGTAATCTGTATTTATCAGGATTTTCTAAAACCTGATGTAAATTAAAATAAGATTTCACCACAATATGACCCAATAAAAATATAAACCAAACGACTGAATATTCCGGGGAAACGTTTTACCTTAAGAAAATTAGATCAACAAACCTCATTTGCTACTTCCTCCCTTAACGTCCTACTAAAAGTTTTCATTTCCTTGGCAGACAGGTCGGTTTCGAAGCCAGAAGAAAGGCGAAGGAGACTTCCGATCGCTGTGAAGAAGCAAGACCCATCGGCTGGCACATCTCTGGTATATTACTAATTTTAGTTGTCTCCACTTTCCGATATTTCCTAAGCGAGAACAAATACCAAACAACATCGATTACTACAACAAGAAAGGGTTGATTATATGGAAAATGACCAACCTGCTTAGTAGGGATCTTGTTGAAACAGTAGTCGGAAAAGCTAGCATGAACCAAATTACGATGTGAAAATACAAAGTCTCCTGTTGAGACAAATAACGGAGGCGATATTTTAAACTAAGACAAGTGTTAAGTGTTTTTTTATGTGCTTGATTGAGGTTATGAGTACGGCCGATGTCTAAAATTGATAATTATCGTTTTATCTGCGAGTGTGGCGACTAGCATGAAATGGCTGAAGTAATGTTGTTTTTGACCAGGTACTACACTGATTAACTGATTGTTTATTTAAGATGTAACATTATAATGGGCGTTGATTATTAATCATTTTTGATGAATTTAATGGCAAAAATTGGCAACATTAAAAATAAAACCACTAAAGTTCTATACACAAATTTTTAAGTTTATTCAATCATATTCAATTTAATCCGACAAAATGCAGATGTAATTTAAGATTGGCGTTCTTGAACACATCAATTGCTTTCTATTTCTATTTTCAATTACAAATTTCAAACTTTCACATATAATGCAGATATTGCCATTCAATACAACTACAATACCGCAAACTCTTCATTCGTGAATGTCGGATGTCCTCATCAGCGACAAAAAATCAACGCCACAGCAATTCCGCCACAGAAACATGGCGACTAATTCTGTCAGGCGGATTAAGGTGACATACAGTTCACGCCAGGATCAAGTTTAGTTTCGGACAACTCCGTGAGCAGCAGCCATGGGATCACAATCCAGCTGCTGAGCTTCTTGGACCAAAGCACAGAGACCACAACATAAGATGTGCATTAAATCTGACAGAAATCCGCCCTGGGGGAATAGGATTTTAGAATTTTAAACTGTCTGGTTATATCGACGGAATCGTGGAATGTTTAATTTTGGAGAAGCCACAGCTCGCCTTGGTCTAACTCTAACTTTTAGAAAAATGTGATTCTAGAGACAACAATCGACCTTTCTCGAATGTGAGAGAAAGCTGTTTGATATATTTGATAAATACAAACCTCTATGTGGTATTTTTCCCGAATGTTTCCTCTGATTTTCAGCCAACAGAAGATGTTAACGAAGGGCACGAAGAAGAGAACGGCGGCTACACAGCAGTTGGTAGTATCTGATTTCTGGGCGTTTCTGGCGTAGGTGTAACATGGCACGAAGTAGGTAATCGCGCCTGAAAAAGTGAATAGAAACACGTTATTACTTTATTAGGTACGTTATTACGTTATGACGTTATTACTTTATTACGTTATTACGTTATTACGTTATTACGTTATTACGTTATTACGTTATTACGTTATTACGTTATTACGTTATTACGTTATTACGTTATTACGTTATTACGTTATTACGTTATTACGTTATTACGTTATTACGTTATTAAGTTATTACGTTATTACGTTATTACGTTATTACGTTATTACGTTATTACGTTATTACGTTATTACGTTATTACGTTATTACGTTATTACGTTATTACGTTATTACGTTATTACGTTATTACGTTATTACGTTATTACGTTATTACGTTATTACGTTATTACGTTATTACGTTATTACGTTATTACGTTATTACGTTATTACGTTATAACGTTATTACGTTATTACTTTATTACGTTATTACGTTATTACGTTATTACGTTATTACGTTATTACGTTATTACGTTATTACGTTATTACGTTATTACGTTATTACGTTATTACGTTATTACGTTATTACGTTATTACGTTATTACGTTATTACGTTATTACGTTATTACGTTATTACGTTATTACGTTATTACGTTATTACGTTATTACGTTATTACGTTATTACGTTATTACGTTATTACGTTATTACTTTATTACGTTATTATTTTATTATGAAATTGCTTTATTACGTTATTACTTTATTATTAAATTGAAGAATGGGCCCTTTAAAGTTAAAAACATTTTTAATTATTAAATCTTTGCTTCGAAATGATACACGGCATTGCTGAAAACGTGAATCTGGTGAAACTGACACAATAGTTATTTTAACTTATAGTTAAACTTACATGTGCCGATGTCATCGAAACAACCAAAGATACTGTGACTCCAATCACCCATTGCGCAGTACAGTCTCTAAATGGAATAAAACAGTTAAGTTTCTCAATTGGTTAAATCAATAAATTAATCAACTAATTAAAATGATTTCAGCACTCCTTGTATTTTTGCTAATAAAATTTCCTTTGCACATTGAGGTATCGCTCACACATAACACATGCCATTCTAAACCCCTCTTCCCTACGTCCTCTCACCTCTATTAGTCTTATATTGCACATAGTTATTGTTATTGAGTTATTGAATTACATCAGGTAACTTTTCCGAATCCTCTGATCTGCAGCTTCCCCCTGTTTTATGTTATATGTGACCAATCACAAACAGATAACAGTACGTACATAGTTTTCCCAGCATTTGAATATTTTCCAATACGTCTTAACCCATTAGGGACGATAGGGTCGTTTTTATGACCCACCTTTTCTCAAAATCTATTGGGCTACATATAATGAAGCCCAATAAATTTTGAGCATATATGCTATAGATTCGTTATAGCGTTTAGTGATTTGGTTTTTCGTCTAGAAAAGGTGGGTCATAAAAACGACCCTATCGTCCCTATAATGTCTGTCACTATTTACATTTTAACAAATTTTTACAATATAAGTCGTTCGATTAATAGTTTGATAAATTAATCAATTTAAATGATTTCAGCACAACTTAATCTTATAACGACGCGGTATAATTTTCTATTTGCATATGTATTTCACAACATACCAGTACGTACATAGTTTTCCCAGCATTTGAATATTTTCCGGTACGTCTTAAGCTTCATATCTGCCTTTATTTAACAATGGAAGGTTACTGAATTTTACCGGTGTTACTGAATTTTACCGGTGTTTTACTAAGCTGGTAGTGCGAATATCATTACTATTTAAAGTTAATAGCAATAGATAAGACTATTAATTAACAATAACACACTTCTGTACAATGGACTAGTAAAACACATGATTCGATATCGGTGCAAACATCTACTGTCAATGAAAAAATAAAAGAGGAGAAAGAGGCCGAAATTTACGAAATTAATATAAAATGTTAATTGGTTAATGATAACGTTATATAAGAAAGTGAAAATTTCATTATCACACGAATGTTCATTGCACAAATTCATGACCAGTAGTTGAAGTTTTAAAAAAATAAAGACACGCCTATCTGTGAGCTGATACAACAGAACCCACTCTACAGCAGCTTTGAGCTGGGGTGCTCTGTGTAAACACTATGTAAACAGCTTCCTGGGCGTTGTTTGTTTAGGACGCAGTGCTTTGCTCGACTTACTTCCTTGTGCTTACTTCGCACTAGCTCGGCTGTTTATAGGTGGGAATATGACGACATTTTGTGGCTTGTAACAGTCAAGATTTAGGTTAGGTGATATTTTAGTTCTCGAGAGCACTTGCAGTTGGCATTGCAGTGGTCTCTAGTGTATGATCCTATATAATTATATAGACGAGGGCCAGGGCTGGTTAGCCGGTCTATATCGGCTGGCTACGAAAAAAATCGGCTGGTCATAAATGTTATATGAGACGTAAGATTCGGCTGACGAATATTGCATGATTATGAGATTGCATAAATATGATGAACACTAATAATAATATATTATATTTATATATTTATATATCAACGTTACTTCTTCAAAATTTAAGTCTTTTTGAGTTGATTTACTTTTAGATTTTCACATTTTGATCATTCAGGTTTGAAAATCTTATCAACTAGTATATCTTATCGGCTGGCTTAACCGATTGAAATTATCGGCTAGTTAAGTCGTCTAGCTCACGCCTTAATCAAATCGTAGTTCGATCATTTTCAGCCTAAAGCTCGATATAGACGCGGATTTATAAGATCAAAAAACTCCATAAGAATTTTAACCTTAAAAAGACCAGAGAGTATACATTAAGTCTGCACTCATTCTCCACAGATCAGTAATCACTCATTGCGAATCATTCTGTAGATACAAAAATGTAAAAGAAGTAAAATGTAAGGACAACGAATTAGCAAAGTATAAATTGTTGCCTTGAACTGCAAAAAATACGAAATAATTAAAGGAAAATACCCGAAAAATTTATTAACCAACCTGACATTCATGCTAACTAAAAATAAAAGTAACTATACTCTCAAAATAATTGTAACCCTATACATAATACAAATGCAACAATAACGTGACTAAAACTTGACTCGAGAACATAAAATTTCTAGTTCTACTATTTCGAGGGAGTTTAAAGTTTAAGGACTAATGCTCGGGATAGGATGGAAGTGGTGAAGTAGAGTGTGATGTTGGGTGGTATTCTTTTAAGGGTTCTGTGGAATAAAACAGCGGCATATTTTCCGAATTCTGATACGAGATAGAAGATAATTACTACTTTATTACCCTGAATTCCTTGCCAATGAGTAGGTTTTTAAAAGTTTTCTGATACATTTACTGAGAGTTGGCGATAGCCTGGGCATTCGGTGGCTCTATTTAAAGTGGTGTTTCTACTTATCCAGATTCCTGGAGTGCCGCCTGAACCAGGAGTACAGACACGTTCAATACTTTAACGGCATCTCATTACCACCGTACGGGGACAGATATAATGCTTAAAAGTGCAGTCGTTAACAGACAGTGTACTGATAATACACTAATACACATAATCATATGTCAAGTAGTAAGATGATGAGTAAGAAACCTTTTAAATTCTGTTTACTCAGCTTCTTCCTGGACCATTCATCCAGGCATAATCTCGAAGGGAGACCTTTATCAGCCCTCGTTTGAACGGACCAAAGTACGACCTTTATAATTATGGGCAGAGTAAATTAAAAAGGGCCGGTCACGAATTTAATTTTGGCAATTTTAACAGAATAACAAGTCTTCGTATATTGATTCTAGTACCCATGATAAAAGGTCGAAATAACTCAAACCTATTCTCAAGGTTTTTGGATGAATTAAGCTCAACTACACACCGATTACAACTAATAAATTCGAAGTTTCGACTGTTCAAATAAAACTACACGTACCACACTGATAAATGTAACGGCAAACCCAACCGGTTAGTATAAGAATCACTATACAAGTGCTCACCAATCATTACACAGAACGTACTGCTGTGTTAACCGCATATGATATCTGTACAATCCTACTTTCAAGAAATATGTCACTTCTGCAGTAGAACTAGAACCCTAATCTGGAGCTAGTCCTTTGTTGCTGAAAGATTGAATGTAGTTGATAAGCATACTCCATTAACCTACCTAAATTATCCGTTGTAGTAGGCTCCATATTTATCATCAGCTCCAACGCATTTATATCACATCCCGGAAGAGTAGTTTATTTTACCCGCTCCTTCTATTCACCGGCTCCCGCACAAAATGGAACAAGCTGAAATAAACATAAAGTATAGCATATTCGCGAGATTTTAACTCAATTTTATCTTAATTTATATAGAAAATTTTTGAGATGGCGTGTAGTTCGTGATGGACTCGCATGGTTGCTGCAACCAGACTATCTACCCCTACGCGAATGATCGCTGTAGAACTGGTCACCGTAATCCTTGTTACCAATTGCTCTTCTCGGCTTTGCTACTTGGAATGTTCGAGGTTTGACCAGGGGTGTAGGAATGATTTTCTTCATGGGGGGGCCAAATTCTAAATATTTTTTGGCGCTTCGCGCCACAGCCTAAATTTTTTGGCGCTTCGCGCCAAAGCCAGAATCTAGGTAAGGACTTCAAAAAACCGAACAAAATATTTTTGGCTCATAATGATCAGGGTAGCATGAAACATGAACAAAAGTAGTTTCCAAGAAAACTTTGAAAATTTTTGACTTAGAAAATTTTCGGTCCGAGTCATTCTCGATACATACCTCTGAAAGCAGAGCTCCCGCTTCCGAGCTCGTATTGCAAAGGGGAAGTCTGCCTCCCCTTTGAAAAACGAAAAAATATTTTTGGCTCATAATGATCGGGGTAGCATGAAACATGAACAAAAGTAGTTTCCAAGAAAACTTTGAAAATTTTTGACTTAAAAAATTTTTGACTTAAAAAAGTTTTGACTTGTAAAATTTTCGGGAAAAAATTTTTTCCCAAAACTTTTTAGAAACCTAAATAAAAAAGTTGGCCCTTTTTGGCCCCTTGCCCAGATTTCATGGGGGGCGATGGCCCCCCCTGCCCCCCCCCGCTTCCTACACCCCTGCTGATTTCTGTTGTTAAAGAGAAGAGATGGGAGTTCCACAAGATGGGAATCGACATGAGCTCGGCCTTTGATACCATCAAGAGATCAGTTATCCTGGAACTTTTGGCTGATGCTGGTTGTTGTGAGGATGACATTCGTTTGGCGAGATACTTGCTCTCCAACACCAAATTGAGGATAAAAATCAACAACACCATTTCCTTAGAGTTTGAAACATCCAAGGGTTCGTTTCAAGGTGATGCTGCATCTGGTGCATTCTTCACACTGTACTTTGCTGGAGCTTTGTACCATTTCCGTGCAGTAGTGATTACCATTCGGCCTAACCCACCGTTCAACCCCGAGACCCTCATGCCTATTGAATGGGAATACGCCGACGATGGCGATTTTGCAGACGAGGATGAGGAAACTCTTAAAGAAATGCTGCCCATATGTAAGGAGATCCTTGAAGAATGGAACCTGTTTGTGAACGAGGACAAAACAGAACATGTCCACTTCTACATTGCAAATAAGGACGAGGTAGACGCCAAGGGTGAACCCGTGAAGAACAGAGAGCCCTGGCGCAACACTATTTCTCTTGGATCCAAGCTCTGCAGTAAGGCTGATATCTCTCGCCGATGCATCCTTGCTTACGTTGCCTTTGAGAAATACAGCAAGGTATGGGCAGAGAAATCCCGCATTTCTCTTCCTGTAAAAATCAAGCTGTATGAAGCATTTGTTACCCCTGTTTTATTGTACAACTGTAACAGCTGGGCAGCTCCACAGAACATTATCAATAAAGTTGATGTGTGTCAACGCAAACATCTAAGACGTATCATCAACATGACCTATCCCCGTATCATCAGCAACAAGGACTTGTATGCTCGTTGCAATGTAACTCCACTTTCAGAGAGAGTTCATAAATCCCGCTGGAAAATGTTTGGGCACATTCTTCGTAGCGACTGCAACTCACCACCACAACTAGCTCTAAATTTTGCTGTTGATAGTATGTCAAATATGAGGGGAAGGATTGTTAGACATCAATGTAATATTCTTAAAACTATTTTAGACGATTTGAATAAAAGAAATATTAATTTGAATAATAGTGACGACTTGACAGACTTAAGGTATTTAGCCTCGAACCGCCAATTGTGGAGAAATTTATTTTAAATTTGATTAGTTCGATAATTTCAGTTTTAAGTTCAATTTTTTGCATAATTTTTGATTTTGATAAGTTCAGTTTTAAGTTCCATTTTTTGTATTTATAGTAAGTTTTCAGTTCTACAAGTCTTTTAAGTAGACTTATCAGGTCTTTAGGATGTTCTTAGTAACTACTTTGGATTTGTGTAAAGTTTGATAATATATAGAAATTGCGGTCGGCAAATTTATTTAAGAACATTATGACATATGATCGACTAAGTCCCTGCAAATCTTATGGGGCGCTCAAACGTACTGTCTTAGTCGTATACACCAATTTTAAGCAGTTAGATAATATACACTACATTTACGGACTGCACTAACTGGAGGAGCCCAAAATAAACACGTGGGGCTCACGTGTAACTTTTCAGATAACATCTACATGTACTGTTCATTTTCATGTCCATATAGAGTTAAAATTCGCACAAAATGGATCTTTCCCCGGGATTGCAAGAATATGAGGACACGCGGATGAGAATAACGGCCACGTGATAGTTGTAATATTTAAACTGTGGAGCGAGAGAAAGCAGCACAGTTTATTTCAAACACTTGTAACTTGTTATTTCTTTTGTTGATCTTCCCACTAAATCCTCTCACCATGGATGATGATGTAGCTGCCCTGGTTGTGGACAATGGGTCCGGTATGGTAAAGGCCGGCTTTGCCGGAGATGATGCTCCCCGTGCCGTCTTCCCTTCCATCGTTGGACGACCCAGACATCAAGGTGTCATGGTTGGTATGGGACAGAAGGACTCCTACGTTGGAGACGAGGCCCAGAGCAAGAGAGGCATCCTCACCCTTAAGTACCCCATCGAGCACGGAATTGTCACTAACTGGGATGATATGGAGAAGATCTGGCATCACACCTTCTACAACGAGCTCCGTGTTGCTCCAGAGGAACACCCCGTCCTTCTGACCGAGGCTCCCCTCAACCCTAAGGCCAACAGAGAAAAGATGACCCAGATCATGTTCGAGACCTTCAACACCCCTGCCATGTACGTCGCTATCCAGGCTGTTCTTTCCCTGTACGCTTCTGGTAGAACCACTGGTATCGTCCTGGATTCCGGAGATGGTGTTTCTCACACAGTCCCTATCTATGAAGGTTATGCCCTCCCTCACGCTATCATCCGTCTGGATCTTGCTGGACGTGATCTCACCGACTACCTCATGAAGATCCTGACTGAGAGAGGTTATGCTTTCACCACCACTGCCGAGAGAGAAATCGTCAGAGACATCAAAGAGAAACTCTGCTATGTCGCCATCGACTTCGACCAAGAAATGGCAACTGCTGCCAGTTCCAGCTCCCTCGAGAAGTCTTACGAACTCCCCGATGGACAAGTTATAACCATTGGAAACGAGAGGTTCAGGTGCCCAGAAACCCTCTTCAAACCCTCCTTCATTGGTATGGAGTCTGCCGGTATCAACGAGACTACCTACAATTCCATCATGAAGTGTGATGTCGACATCAGAAAGGATCTGTACGCCAACACTGTCCTTTCCGGAGGTTCGACAATGTTCCCTGGTATCGCTGACAGAATGCAGAAGGAGATCACCGCCCTAGCTCCTCCGACCATGAAGATCAAAATCATTGCTCCTCCTGAGAGGAAATATTCCGTATGGATTGGAGGATCTATTCTTGCTTCTCTGTCCACCTTCCAACAGATGTGGATTTCCAAACAGGAATACGAAGAATCTGGCCCAAGTGTTGTCCATAGGAAATGCTTCTAGGCTGAAGAGTCAGCAAAAAGAACAATAGTTGGACAGTTTGAATTTTTGGGTGAATATTTCATTCCTTAGCTTTGATGATATGGTTGTATTGTGTTTTATAAATTTGTACTTTCAATGAATAATAATTAGCATTTTCAAAAGATATTTTGATTGTCAAATTCTGTCTCCTTTAATGTTGCCACACATAACAAATAATCCACGAGCTGAAATTACTGGCAAAATGGCAGTTGAACTTGACTAGTTGACTGTAAGTGTATAAGACGTGTACATTAAATGATATGTATTCAAATTCAAACAATATAGTGTTGAAATTTTACAAATGCTATCATATTTTCATCATTCACTGCAACTCTCCAGCTACTCTTGTAACTTTGATGTGGGAATCTACAAAGGTAGATTTAAAAATATAAAACCTACTTACTCTTCGTTATATCCAGTTAGAAACTTCTTGTGTGCTACTTCTATCTTTCTATGATGCCATACAAATTCTGATTCCCCAAATTAGGGAACTGAGCACTTTATCTGTCTTCAGGGTGAGTCTGAGGATAAAAAATCCCCACAGAACCAGCACTAACAACCCTTCCTCCCAAACAGGCCACACTCAAAGGAAAATCCCACTTGAGATGTTCCTTCATGGCTAACATAGCCTCTGTCAGGCTAGGTCACAGCCCACAAGCTTACTTTCAGAACGTGGCGAATGAAGTCAACTTCAAGACGCACGATTTTGAACACTGTCCAGGAGAAGCAGAAACATCCCAGCACTTCCTCTGCGAGTGCATCCAGCTCATGACACTCACAATGAGGATACTTGGTGAACCCCTACGGAGGGTATTACCAACAGTAAACTCAACCACAGTGGCGTAACGAAGGGCCCCACTGACCTCGCTTTGAGGGGGGGGGGGGATTAAATCGTCGTTTGAATGTGGTTACACTTACAATTATAAAAAACTTAACTGAGGTACTAGCAAAATGCGCGTTTGTTGTTAACTCGGTGATCAGAGAAGTATTATTAGAATTTAAAATATTCAAAATCTTTCCGTTAACTTTCTATCAAGATTCAGTCATGAATAGACGGATCAGTGATATTTGGTCTTATACATAAAAGAACAAGAATCGGCCGTTTGGCCATAGGCGAAAAAAATATTTGTTTACGTTTTAGAACTTGAAGAAGAAATAATCTTTACACTTTAGTAAGAGGTTTTGAAAAAGAAAAATAGCATTTGAATCGATCAAACCATGCAAAAGATCCAAGCTTAACTTACACCGTGAGTTAAGCTTGCGTGTAACTTTGCAGAATACTTGGTAATAATAACTAATAAGGCAACTCATAAGCTCATTACGTATCATAAGTTTGTTTATTGTTAACTCGGTGATCAGAGGAGTATTATTAGAATTTAAAATATCAAATGTTGCCAAAAACAAAGGCAAAACAGATCATATCAAAAACTTTTGAAAGTTAAACACATTTAGAATTTATAAAACCATGCATATCGCCAATTTTCATTATATATTGCATTTAAGTTTCCTGAAATATCTGAGATCAACTAATAATATATAATCAACTAATAATATAGCACAAAAGAAAAACGTCGCAATAATAAAGCAGTTTGTCATACCTTAATCTGTTCGTTATTAAGTCTGGGTGGTTAGAGGAGTGTTGACTGGACTCAAAACATCATACTTAATATATCGTCCAACGTTTCTATCGTCAATTTTCGCCTTCAACCCCCTCATTTTCTCCGTCATCCGTTGCATACACGCCTCCTGCTCAGGAGCAACAGCCATGTTCTCTCCAAAGATGCCAAGTTTATTCTCTCCAGGGGAGTTGAGGTAGAATCTCTCAATAGGAGAGTACTGTCCCAGGTTATTTGATATGTTCATGGTAATGAAGTGGATCTCCAACACAGGAAGAGTGTCCAGTATCATATCCATGGTGACATTTGTATCTTGTTTAGGAGGAGGGAGGGTCATGCACGAGGGGACATTCGGCGGGAAGGTGTAAGTGGTGAATGACTGGAAGTTGACCGCGCAGTGGAACACAGAGATGTTGACGATGACGCATGTTAGATACTCAACTAGCTGTTCTCTATTGGCCATTGATCGTGGAAAACCAGCACCGTTTTCGTAGCCATGGAAGCCAGAGTCAACCAAGTCTTTGAAGACGTTCTGAAGCTCAAGATCTTTGACGACGTCTTCATCGGAGGGGTATGTCAAATTTACCATCTCAGAGACGTATTCACCGATGATTTTCCAGTGGTCAAGAGTGTCGTCTCTGTATAAATACTCAGGGATGTCTTCGACACCACGTTTTTCAAAGTTCTTTTCTAGATTCAGGTCCGCGTAATCAAAGGTTTGGTAGTGGTTGTGTAAAAGTATTTCTAAGCTATCACCTGCTGAGAGGAATAAGGCCAAGGCATTCTGAGCAGGATTTATCAGCACAGCTCTTGCTTGAACATTGACCGCGATTACTCCTTGAATGTGGGGCTGCAATAACCTAAAGATGGGATGGGCATTTGGCAGGTTTCGGTAAGCTGCTACTGCAAAGATTTCGTTGGTGGCGTGACCTCTAGCGTAGTGGGTGCAAACAGTATATACGCTCAGGTCAGCACACCTGAACCACATTTTGGCATATAGCCAGGCTAAATGTTCTGGGTCATTCAAATCCGTTATATCAGAACTAGGAGGGGACCACCAAGTTTCGGGCTCCCCATCAGCTCTGTTTTCTAATCGAATAAGAACAGGAACCAACTTTCCATCGTCTCTCTGATACAAAAGACAATCGGCGAGACACACATACCAAGTTTGTGCTGTTCCGGTCAGCTTTTTGCTGAATGCCCCACCATGAGGGATACCAATTAATTCGTCGAAGCAAACCTCAAACAAATGTCCTTGTCCTATCACGTCCTGTACGGATTTACCTTCCAATGCGTGGTCGGGAACTGTTCCTCCAGCCCAGCGTCCCTCCAGGGATGTTACCCTACTGATAAGCATAGCGTTGGGGCCACACAGCATCTGTCTTCCGAACTCCTCATCCTGACGGAATACTTTGGAAATTTTCAATGCATCAAGGACAAGTTCTTTGGGCCATTCCATTTCATCTGATTGCTCTTTCATATAATCTCTGTAATGCTGAAAAGAGTCGGCCTTTTCCTCTTTGTACGTTCCCAAGATTTTTTCCTTTATATTTGACAAAACTTTACTTTTAATCTTTGCCAGTCCTTCAGCCCTCAAATCGTTAAAAGCGTCTAATTTTGCTTCCCTAAACTTCAGAAACCTCGGAAGATTGTCATACTCCATGATGTTCAAATAACCGGGATAAAAATATTCACTTGATTCATTTTTGAAATCATTCCACTGAACCAAGGAGTGAATGGTTTGCAAATCTTCTTCTCTTGCTTTGATGATGAAGTCCTCAGTTTCTTGGTGTTTCAGAGTTCCAGCTCCTTCTCGAACGAGAAAATGTGGCGGGCATCCCAATTCGGCAACAGTAGGGTTTCCTCGCATCGGGTTATGAGGGTACACAAAGTTCTTGATGGGAAAACGGTAAGGGTCCCGGTTATACGGCAACTAGAACGAACACCGATGGGACATTAAGACAACATTAAGACACATTAAGACAACAATAAGACAACAATAAGACAACATTAAGACACATTAAGACAAAAATAAGACAACATTAAGACACCAATAAGACAACATTAAGACAACATTAACGCAACAAACATCAATAAGACAACAAACGATAAGACAACATTAAGACAACATTAAGGCATCATGAAGGCAACATTAAAGCAACAAATTCGTTTAAGACAACAAATTATGTATAACAGTATAACACTATTTCTTCGAATATATTTTACTTTGTCAAATTATATTTTACTTCATCAACTGAGTTAGAGTAATACGAAATTGTGTGACTTTTATGTTTTACTTCATCAACTGTTCTTAAAAAGTATGATAGAATATAGAAAGCAAAATAGTTTACTGCTCGAAAGTTTAACTGTGAAAGAATGGTCACCGTATAAAAAACGTAAATAAAACAATGTGAATATAGCCATAGGAGGCCGAGTTGCAGAAAGACTTGCGACCCAAGACTCTTAGTCTTACTGAACCTCCAGGGATCATTATTTCAATAAAAGAATAAAGCGCCGCTATCATCTATAATTCGATTGGAGCAGCAATAAATAGACAAACAAACTCGGTCTTATCCATAACCCTAGTTTGTGCAAGGATTAAAATAATAATAATAATTAACTTGCAATAGAGTGGAAAATGAACATATATGCAACAATAAAAATGCAAATTCAATAAACGAATTATTCGTTATAATTGTTAGGCTGCAAGCTTGGCTACCCCGTACTCATAAAATAATCCACAACCTTCTAGAATATTCTGAGCGGCTTACTATCGGGTGGCACCGTCTCTCTGCCGAATCTCAGTAATTGTAAACAACGAAGCCTCTATTTCACAGCCAATGAGCGGGCCTATGAAGGAAAGATCTCAAGTTGAGAAGGTGAAAGACATTTTTCCAAATACAGGGTGTACCACTACCACAGACAGATTAACCCATTAGTGATGATAGGGTTGTTTACGGCCTTTCTTTTTTAGAGGCTATAGATGACAAACAAAAATATTTGATTACACAAATTTTATGCACAGTAGGGTCGGCGGGGGCCTTCGTTACGCCACTGGACTCTCACAGTCACGGTGATCTGCCTTTCAAACATTGATTAGGTTAACAATAACGAGGTGTCGTACGTCACCTCAAGATCAGGTAACAGGGAGCTGACCAGGCCAGAACCCAATTGACTGGGTCTGCAGATGTCACGTGATTATGAGCCTTAGGTCACGTGACTTTGACGACATCAGAGCTTGTTCTCCGTTTTCCACTCATTGAACCAGGACCCAGGTGAGCTCACATGCTTGTGAATGTGGAATGTGATTGAATGTATGTGTTCTTAAAAAGTATGATAGAATATAGAAAGCAAAATAGTTTACTGCTCGAAAGTTTAATTGTGAAAGAATGGTCACCGTATAAAAAACGTAAATAAAACAATGTGAATATAGCCATAGGAGGCCGAGTTGCAGAAAGACTTGCGACCCAAGACTCTTAGTCTTACTGAACCTCCAGGGATCATTATTTCAATAAAAGAATAAA